CTACCTACCTCCTCTCTCTCTCTCTCTCTCTCTCTCTCTCTCTCGCTCTCCTCCCCTCCTTTATCTCATCCCCAGCTCTCTCCCTCCTCTGCCCTCCCCTACTCCTCTCTTTGTCACCCTCACCCCTTACTCCTCGCCCTTCTCCCTCTCCCCTCCTCCACCTCTCCCTCTCCCTCACTCTCATCCTCTCCTACCTTTACCTCTATCCACTCACCTTCCAATACCGTTGCTTTCCATTCCAACGTTGCTTATGACTCAAATAGAAGAATGGAAGAAAATAACATTTACGTTCATTTCCAGATTGATATTTTTAGAATATTAAACATTTTTATATATAATTGTAAATAATAAAAAGGGATTACCATTTGAAATCTCCAAACAAAAAAAAAAAAAAAGGATGCTATGTGAGAAAATAAAAATAAAAATTTAAGATTGTTTTAAGAATATATCCTATCTTTTAAACTGCAAAGTTGAAGACTAAGTAAAGCTGAACATTTTTTTTTCCCCAATTTTTCCAAAGTCAAACCAAACAAATTAATCTAAAAAACTGAATCAAATAGAATTAAGATGAGCGAATAAGAAGATTTATTGTTATTAATAGCGAAGAAAAGATGCATATACAATCGATCCCAAATTCTTGTTATTATTTAATTGGTTCTTATGCACTCCTTGTTTATTCGTTTATACTTCGATCTGAATCACCAACATGCTGACAAAAAATATATACGTGACAGATTTAGCACGGCTTTTCCTTAAGAATAAAGGCCAAAATTCCATGGGCATTACGGATTCATAGTCTAGATAGAGGTCGTCTTGTATGACCAGATCAACTGCCACAGAAGTCCATGGATGGGAACTCCAAGCACGTCTCCAACAGTTGGATCCTTGACCTGGATTTCTTCTACCTTGGAAAGCTTAAATTTAGATAGCTTCAATTCCTTTCATGGCAGTCAATTTTAGATAGCTTAAATTCCACACCGTCTCCAAAGGAAACATTGACTCGGAGACTTCAAGATTCGATCACCGTTTCACGCAGTCCACACCGTAAGCCCTCACCAGTCCTCCTCAAGTATACGTAAATATTCATATGGCAAACCCACTGCCATCTCTGGATTCAGCAGCAGATGGAGACCGGAGCTACTGCATGCCCGCGGTGGGCTCCAAGCGACGACAGTCTCGTCTTGTGTGAGCTCAGCATAAAAGCCTCATCCATCTGAATGCGTTGTCCGGAAAGCGTTGGTGGTTGACGATCGCTGCACCTGGCGAGGACTGACCAGCAGTAGCAGTCTGAAGCAAACGCTGCCCAGCGCCACGAAGACGTGAGGTTTGGGACGGGTCGGACGACGTCACCGAAGACCGAACGAGCTAAAGGACGATAAAGTCGCTGGAAATGGAGAACTGGAGAACCCGTAAAACAGAACGAACGCGTCTTCTCTCGCTTCACGTCTTTATATCTCGCTACGCGGTTTCCACTCGGATGCGTCTACCGGAGGGGGAGAACGAGAGAGAGCAAGCGAAGCGATGCGGCGGCGATTGTGCTGGCACCCAGTGCACCGCTGCTTCGGGTGGTGCGGCGCCCGGGGTGGGGCCGGTGCGGACGGCCTTCTTTGGCATACGGACCTAAAGCCCCACGCATCCGGCGACTTCTCCATCGCCGTCGTCCAGGCCAATAACTCGCTCGAGGATCAGGGGCAGGTGCTCGCCTCTCCCTCCACCACCTACTTCGGCGTCTTCGACGGCCACGGCGGCCCCGAGGCCTCCCGATTCGTCAATAACCGCATCTTCTCCCACCTCCACGGTGATTTGCTTTCTCCTCGTTTCGTAAAAATCTCTTTTTGGGTCGAACGAACGATATAATCATTCGTTGCTTAGTAGATTCCGCCGCAAAGATCTCTCTTTTTTGAGACCTTTGTGATGGTGCACCTGTGTGTGTTCTTGGTGTTCAATATGCCTGACAGGTCGATGGCAAAATGTCTCAATGAGTCGCTGATTAGGACATGTTTTGTGTTGTTCTAAATCGCGTAGAGATTGCGTCGGAGCAAGGAGGCCTCTCGGTCGAGGTAATACGCAAGGCGTTCAATGCCACCGAGGAAGAGTTCTTACAACTGGTGAAGAGATCATGGCTTTCTCGACCAAATATTGCATCGGTGGGGTCATGTTGCCTCGTCGGTGCGATCACAGACAACGTTCTCTACGTGGCCAATCTGGGAGACTCCAGGGCAGTGCTCGGCAAGCAGGGAAGTGATGGGAGGTCCGTGGTGGCAGAGCGGCTGTCGAGAGACCATAATGTCGCTGAGGAGGATGTGAGGAAGGAACTTGCTGAACTCCACCCTGATGACTCCCGCATTGTTCTATGTAACAGAGGCGTCTGGCGGATCAAAGGGATCATCCAGGTTCCTGGCACATTAGATCCCTTTCATATTCTTCTCCAAGTTGAATTTTCTCTGCTGCATTTTAGCTACTTGATTTAATCTTTTTACACATTACATGCAGAATAAGATCAGTGATGGTAATCAGAGCAATTAACCAAACTCCAAATTCAGAATTTGATATTCTTGGTCATGCGTTATACCTGATCTTGAACAGAGTTGGGGATGCTGATTACTAGATCAGTTGAATGAGTCTTTTTATCTGCTCCGGGAAATTTTAGTAGGAACATAGTCATAGACTTCTTCCTAAGATGGTGGCAGATTTAGTTATCCAATTTTCTCAAAAGTTATTCTGTAAGCAGATGGCCCAGGACTGTGGTTGTCGGAATAAATGGTCACCTTTAACGGTAGCACAGAACAATGTTTCTTTTGTTTGATGATCAAGTTAGCTTACTATTTGTTTTGATAAACATAAGTACATTAAACAGGAGTATTGCATGGGACAACCATATTAGGAAATTCTATCATGGTCAACTATCAAGTTTGTTGAGCGTGCGAATCTTTCATGGCAAACATTCTAGATATTATGTGAATACTTTCTAACAGAAACAAGTCGTGGTTGATGCAGGTTGTCATGGAGTTTGTATATGTGCCTTGTCCTAAGGACCAGCCATCCAGTATATATGTGTATAAGTGTCTTCTAGCTCTAAATCTTGTCTAACAATATTTAGACTGCATCATGATCATATTATTTAATGAGAAGATTCTGAACATAAAATATATATCACTCGTTTTATGGTAATCACAAGCTCACTTAGAAATATGGTTGGATGGTTACAAGGTACTGAGTTCTTAAATATTCACCTTTGTTTTCATGACATCTTTTCTTCTACATGATGGTCGGACTTAAGGTCATAGGTTGTATCCTCATTTCCTTGGGGTTTAATATAGTCTATATTCAACAAATATTGCTGTCTCATGGCAACTAGCATGGGAGTGCATGTCATTGCCTTTCTATCATGGGCCTATACCATGCTGCCAGCACCTTTTTAGCATGCAACGCTCCAAACCATGCTGATTGACATTGCATTTTTTTTGGGGGGAGTGTAGCATGAATTGGATACTAATTTTTCCTAAATAAAGAAGCTCATTAACTTTCAACTGTATGAGCTTGATTTGCCCATGATTCGATTTTACTTATATCAGGTATTGGTTTAGCAATTAACTCTGTTACGAGCAAAAATAGCTTTTCATCGACTGTATCAAATTATGAGAATTTCTTTCTTCTATATCTTTTATGATTTCTGAATCTGTTCTATATGATGACAATAAAATCTTCCCATAAAGGGACTGGGCACATTAGAGGCTTTATTTCCTTTATTGTTACTGGTTGAACTTAGATCAGAAAAATATATGCCTTTCTTATACCCTATGCATAAGCTACAATGTGTTTGAACATTTTGTTCTTACAAGTTGAAATTGAATAGTTTGTGCATCACATACAACTTTATGATAGATTGTGCCATGTCCATGTAGATGTCACCAATGCTAAGCATTATATCTGGAAGAAAGAGCGATCATCATGTTTTTAATGACAAGCTGATAAACTTCATGGTCAGGTATCAAGGTCGATCGGTGATGTCTACCTGAAGAAACCCAGTTTTTCCAGGGACCCATTGTTTCAGCAATGTGCTGCTCCCATTCCACTAAAACGGCCTGTCATGACTTCAGAGCCTTCAATTAGGACACGTAAGCTTACACAACAAGACTTGTTTCTGATATTTGCATCGGATGGTCTCTGGGAACAACTAAGTGATGCAGCTGCAGTGGATATTGTCTTCAAAAGCCCCAGAGCAGTTAGTTCTTCAACTTTTTGTTTTTGTTCCACATAATCTTCATTTATCAATCACTTGTCATAGATTAAATAGCTGGCTTATGTTTTGCAGGGAATAGCCAAGCGACTTGTCAGAGCTGCTCTCACTGAAGCCGCCAAGAAAAGCGAAATAAAATATGATGACATAAAACATATGGAAAAGGGAGTAAGGCGCCACTACCATGATGATATAACAGTCATCGTTATCTATCTCGACCATTTCGAGGGGAAGGCTTCCAAGCTTCAGGGAAGCACTTTTGACTGCACCAGTGCACCCGTGGACATTTTCTCCCTCAATGCAGCTACTACTTGAAGAAATCTTAGCTCTCATGTGTTGGTTGCAAGAAGGCATATATTTGTGATCAGGGTGCAACAGCTGACTAAACTGTGGGCAAAATCTCGGTATAAGGCGCAAATTTAGAGTTACAGAACTTATTGGCTACCAGAAAGAGATTGATCCTCGATTGAGTTAGCTTAGTAATTGGTGTAGATAGCTTTGTATTTGATAATTTAGGTTAGCTGGCTATGGTTTTTTGATTCAAACAAAAGTGCACTTTCTGAGAGGAAATCTAAAGTAATGATCTCGCCTCTCATCAGTTGGTCTTTGCGTCCCTGATTGAGAATTACTAGTACAAAAAAAGTACAAAATTTTGAGGAATAATATGTGCGTACTCAAAATGTGGGCTAAACAATAGTGAGGTTTATGTTTATTTTGATGGCACTTATGGTTGAATTGGAAAGAAGAAAGAGACTGGATTTATGACAGAGTACACTGAATTTGGCATGCTTGTCCCACTTTAGTTTGAGATGGCACATATGGTTTGCCCTACATGACCATAGGATGTCTTTTAGAGGTTTAAACTAGGGGGAAAAGGGGGTCTTGTCTACTGTGATCTTAGAGAGTATTGCATGAAGAAGCAATCCAAAGACTAAAGCCTAAAGGTTGAGGCCCCAAGTGATATCTTTTGTGCATTGTGGACTAAAGTAAAAGCAGGAAAGATAAAACAAACAAACAAAAGAAGAAGAAGAAGAAGAAGATCATGCTTTGATCAACTAAGCCTATCAGTTTGTCTCTTTTGGTGCCTTTAAAGTCTGTTACTTTAAACATCATTTGCAATAATCAGGGAATGTCGGGAGGTAGCTGCATTGTGAAGCCTATGTTGGCTTTTGAGGGAGGATGAGATGAGGCAGAAGATCTTCCACCTTTGCCAGAGTAGAGCCATTTCTCCTCATTGCTTTTTCTCCTTTTATCCCGATCACATCACATACGAGTAGAGTACTCGTAGAAATAAGACTGCATTCTCTTCGAGTCATTTATCATTTAGATGGAGTCAGATTTTTCTGCTGCTGAATCTGATTCGACTTCGAAACCGATGTGTTATGCACAATCCGGTGCATCTTATTCATACTGAGCAGATCCAAAAGAGTGCTTGATTGAAGACAAAAAGGACTGGTACTATCGAAACCAGCAGTACGTCATCATCACTGGGATCCCAGATGCGTGAGAGCTGGGAAACATCGTGAATGGATCCTTCAGTGGGAGGTGGCCCAGCTTCCTGTTGAGTCTCTCGTTCTGCCCTGGTGAGGGATCCCAAAGCAGCACTGCGTGCCAAAGGCTAGTAAAAGAAAGTGTCGATCATGGCACAAACTGCAGCCACAGGAGATTCACGGTGAAGGATGAAATCTGGGAACCTAATGATACCAGATTGGACTGAATTAGCTCGACCTCAGTGTCCATCTCCATCGATGCATGCTTGTCTTATGTGTACTGTTTTCCCTACATTTCAACGTGGGGTCTAATTTGCCCCCCCCCCCACCCGAAGAATCCAATAAAGAAGACAATCATCAAGGGGGATGCTAAGTCCATATCTCACAGCATGTGTCCATCTGGATTTGTGGATCTGGAAAAGCATTGCAGAACAAACTGATGCTGTGTTGTCTTCCTTCTTCTTATGTTTATACGGATCTTTAGTCTCCCAGTATCTGAGAAATGTGTTTGCTGCTTCCAAGCACTTGCTGGTGACCATGGAATTGACTTGTGGAAGCTTCCTAGCTTGATTAAGAAAGGGACATGTAATCTAATCTATCAAAATAGAGGAAGAAGAAGAGGTAGGCAGGCAATGTCTGCACGGACAATTAAAGATTAATAACGCCGAGGCAGTGACTGAGATGAGAATTGAGCAGCACATGAGGATGAGCTGTGTCCCAATTGCTGTCATGCAAACAAGGAAAAGAAGACAGAGGAGAGAACAAGATCATCTCAGCAGCATCCACAAGAGAGAGGTGGTGGCAAGTATAAAGCTACCTCATCCGAAGACTGCAAAGAGGGAAGAACAGCTACATGTAGGCATTAATAATCTGATCAAGTTTGTCTTACACGCCGTCAGCTTTTTCCCACTAGGATTGGCACCAACTCGGTAGCCACCGACAATATCTCGCTCATTCTTACACCGAAGAGATCTAAGAACATGAACTCCACCAACACAAACGACAACTCAACTGCATGAACACATTAAATGACCTTGTGACCACCAAATGAGTTTGATCTAAAACACCATGGAAAGGCAGCAAAGCCAAAGGGATGAAGGAGAAGGAACAAGAAGAGGAAGAAACCCTTTCTCTCTCTCTCTGTCTTTCCCCATCTGAATCTAACCGATGCTTTACCAATACCCTTCTGCATTCAGAGGATAAAGGTTCTGCGAGGCCTGTGACAAATGAGACCTGAGAACAATTACGCTCCTATTTACAGAGGATAGCACATGAAATTAGTAGGCAGTGACCTACATTTCATGGTCGGTCAGTGACAATTAGCACGAGAACGAGCAGTATGAACAGTTCCATCTTTCCCGGACAGACGCCACCACCGTCGCATCGCTAAACTTCGACCCTCCAAATGATTCTATCACTTGCAGCGGTAGCGTGTGGTTTGTCAACCGCCGCCACCTTCGCCCGGTTGCCGATGCTGGTTTTGCTCCTTTCGCCTTGCGGGAGTTCACAGGTCTCGCTGACGGAACCGCGTCTTATGTCCGCAGGAGGGATGAAGCAGTCGGCTGACAGGCCAGGGACGTTGAAGGCCACCTCCTCAATGGTCCACGCCTCCTCCATCCTGGTCTTGGTGTGGCTCATGGCCACCTCGCCGAACCTGAAAAGAGTGACCACGGAGCGGCCGGAGTGGGCGATCATTATGCCTTCGACGGGGCGGTAGTCGTCGAGGAAGGAGTTGATGGTGGTCTCCCAATAGACCGCATCGCCGCCCGCGTTGGATTGGATTCGCGTGAGGTGCGAGTCCTCCATGTGCACCAGGAGCCCTGTTCGCTGGCTGAAGCAGCCGAAGAGGACGTGCCGAATGATCTCTGCGGGGCCTTCGCTCCTGGCTTTCAGCGTCTGCGGATCAGCGCAGAGCTTGAGGATGAAGCAATCCTCCCCATTAACCTTCTTCTCCCCGATGCAACGTGCATTGGCAAACATGCTCGCCGTCGTCAGAGGATCAAGGCCCTGCTCAAACGAGCAATTCGTTCATTATAAGACGATGTGAGATGTGGGGAGCTGAAACCGTGATAGTTTGAAGTGCTATTATACCTGGAGGGCGCGCCGGAGAGGGCGGACGGGGCCCTTGGCGGCGTGCACGCCGAGCCACGGGGTGTGCCGCCAGACGAGTTGGCCATTGGAGCCGGCATGGACCTTGCTGCCGCCAACGGCGAGCTCGACGTACCACATGTCAGGGGCCATCTGCCAAAGGACGAAGCTGCCTGACTCAGCTGCACGCGCTGAGCCACCGCGATTCTTCACCACCTTGGTCGCAGTTTCGAACTCCGACGCCACCATCCTCACCTTGCCCATGGCGTAGGCATTCCGGATGGAGCTCTGCAGCTTGAGACCGCCCGATGCGGCGGTGTACTGCTGCAATATGTACTGAGCCGATGAGGTTTCCTGAAAGAAGGAAATGACGAATGAGTTAGCGGTGCATGGAGCACATCAAATTGCCATCTTTGAAACACCAAGCTCCAGATGTGAGCAGGCAAAAACTGCACTTTTTAATCCTCAAAATGGTTATTTGCGACAACGAAACAGAATAAAGCGAAGAAGTAAAGGTGTTGGAGAGTGCAGACGTATAGAAGAACTATTAGTACGCGTAGTAACGCATCAAACAATGCCATTTTGGAACACAAGATTGAAACTTAGCTCTGGGAATGGAAGAACAGAGCACGGAGGACGATAGAAACCGACGAAATTAACAGCGTTGGAGAGGGATGGAGACCAAGGCTTACAATGGGAGTCTCCTTGATGCTGAGATGGGGGAGAGGGTCGGCGGAGCTGACGTGCATGGGGGCGAGCGGCGCTCCCATTACTCCCAGCAGCAGGCGGAGATCGGAGCGGCGGAACGAGGAGGACCCAGCTGCGTTCGCGGGGGAGGACGTGACGGAGGGCGCCCGGGAGAGCTGGCCGCGGACCCAGCGGCCCCACCCTTCCCTCCGCGTGCCCCCGCCGTCCTCCGGCGCGTCGCCATCAGGGCCCTCCATGAGCGGCGCTAGAGCCTCTCCGCCGGGCCGGAAGCTCCCGGATCTCGCGATCAGCGGCGCATCCGGCAGCTGCGCCAGCGAATGGTCCCGCCCGTGGCCCTTCCACCGCCGGGGGAGCAGCAGCAATGCCGCCGATGGCGACTGGCTCTTCGCTCTCGACCGCGCCGGCGACAGCCCCCGCACCACCTCCTCCAGCGCCGAAAACAACCCTTGCTTCTTCTCCATGGTCCGGTGCGTTCGACTTCCTCCCTCCGCCGAACCATCCGTAACTTATTATAACTACAAGCAGTGGGAAGGGATGGACCAAAATGTGAAATATGTTTCGTCAAGGACCTCATAGTAATAATTGGTTGCGACTATAGGAAAAGGGAAAAGGAATGGGGTTAACGACAATTTAACATCTATCGAGGGTGGCGCTGAAAAAAGACTAGGATGGATGGAATCACACGAGCGTCGACACTGACGGTACCACTTTGGAGTATGTCTCGTTACCTCCCGGGTACCCATAAGCCCCGACGTACCCAAGCCAAGGTAACACCGGCGTGATATCCAAAAGAAAATATTCCTTTGAAAATGGAGTCGGTATCCACACCGCGAATAAGCACACTTATCATGGGACGAGGCAAGACTCAAACGTGGCGCTCGTTATTGGGGGAGCAGCGCATGTGCCTCGCCTCACTAACGGCACCGTTAAAGGAAGGTTCGTTGAGGAATCCGACGGGCCGGAGACGGCGGAGCGTCGCGCGACGGGTGCGGCACGTGACCGGTTGCCAGATTCTCATGTTACAGGGTGGCAGCCTAATGCCGATGCATCTTGACCGTGAGAAGTTAGATCAGACGGCTGAGGAGGAGACGTTTCGAGCGGGTTGTTGGCGGCCTATTTGGTCACAGCTTTGACCGAGTAAACTGAGTCAAAATTAAATTCACATCGGATCTAACTTGAGCCCTGACTCTTCGTGACGATCGATGGCACCAAACTCAAATTAAGCCATTAGTTTCCACTGGGATCTTGGAATAGTTGGTCGATGGTCTTTCGTCCCATCACCACCGTGTGTCAGATTTGCTTGAAAGCAAGGCATAAGGGTGGGAATCGGACGAGTTGCACTTGGGCATGGGAGACCGGCCGTCGAGCAGGTGCATGAGGCATGTGGACTGCACGTGGGATTTCCGAATGATGAGAAGCGCCCGCCGGCATCACTGTGATCCACCCGACACATGACTTGTCACCGGCTGCCATGGGGCCCACCACCTGGGCGAGTCCGATCTGATTGCTCAAAATATATAGCGATATTTTATTCCAAGTTCCTTTTTTTTCCGTAAAAGATACATATTTTCATTATTAATTTATAAGACTAATTATGAGTTTATTAAATAATTTAGTGATCACGGTATATCAGATTTTTTTAAAGTTAAAATTAATTTTATATTTAATATGATAATAAGAACATAATCATATTTTATATTTAATGTGATCGATATCTTAACCTCATAAGTTCAATACTTAATCAATAATATCTTAATATTACGTAATCAATACATATTCGTTATGTAACGTAAGACTAATTATATTATGAGTTCGATATAACACAATATGAAAACACCTAGGAGATGTATGTATGTAATTAATTTTCATGATCAATATTGATAATGAGAATAGTAACCCTAAGAGCTCATTATAAAAAGAGCTATATAAGTAATTTTTTTTTAAGAATACTCGAAATAAGATTGATGTATAAAAAGAATAATAATTGATTCTAAATTGGCTTCCAGTGTAAACAATCAATTTGAATATTCAAATTTAGTTTGAAGTTGAGTAAATGGGTCATTTGCACTGCATGGCCAACCAAGAACTGTGGATGGGGTTTCAGCAATTAAATGATGTGAAAGGTGTCCAATTCTTATTGCCCGAATCTTTCTTACCTTCTGGCCTGCCTCCATTAATGGTGTGTGGTGAGCTCCGACATCGGTACCCTTAGGAGGGTCCCTATCCACAGTGTTATTAAGTCGTCTCTATGCTATCATACACTATATATATATATATATCTATCTATCAACAAGGTACAAAGATTTCAGGAAGATTCCATGCATGTTACATATTACAATGCAAATTAAATCATGCACTTAATAGATATTTTCAGAAGAAAAACTTATATAATTAATAGCCATCACATTGTCTCCTCTTTACTTGACGATCATTTTCGGGTACTATATGATGGATCAAAGTTGTCTATATCAAGATAATAAAATGGAGTTACAAGCAAATGGAGGCACAAGACCGTAGTAAATAGTACGACAGTCTTTGCACACACGTGATTACATCAGATAATAAAATGAGAGATATTGGCAACACATCAATAATTACGCACAGAATCCTTCAATGCACATCACAGGTACATAGAAAATCTAATTTGAGATGCCGCCACCGACAAAAAAAATATGAATCTTATGACAATTGCTCCTCTTTCTCTCTTCTTTGTTCGAGACAAATGGGATGTTCGAGACTAATCTACCTTACGATTTAGATTACCTCAGTAATAAAGGGTTATGGCTAATAACGAATAGCTTAATCCTCCTAAACATTGTTATGGATATTTGATTCAAATCATTTATCAAAATATTTAAGCTGAAATTATTAGTCTGATTTACTTCGATTAATCGGAATATTATAAGTTTTTCTATTCAAAGACTTGATTTCTTCGTCAAGACCTAACATATTTTTTTTTTCGTCAAGGCCCAACATACCTAGTATCAAGTCCTAACATGGTGCGGACATACTCTGATGGTGGACGGTAATTTTTTTTTATTAATCTCTCGGACTTGATAAGTTAATTGATCTATCAAATTTGTTTGACCTATATATTTATTATATTTTTATAAGTTAATTTTAATATCATAAATGTAAGACTAATCCAAGGGTTATAGATTGAGTGTGAGAAATAGTTAGATAATGGGAATTGAAGAGTTGACTTGATGTTGGATTACTCATGTCCGATTAATTCCGATCAGGGAAAAGTACCACATATTATAAGCAACATGTGCACTTGTAGGATTACTTTTCAACGTTTGGTCATTAATGCCGTAGCAAAAAGTGTTGACATGTCTCAATAATCTTTAATATGTTCGTCCACAAACTTTATTATGATATATATAGAGAGCGTAGGAATAATTTATACGAGTGTCAAACTGGGAGTGACAGATATAAATAGGGATACACATGGAAACAGTGAAATGACTATCCATCAAGACATCACACCACAACGTCGATGGGACGAAGCGAATCAAGAAGGAGCCCAACAAGACATCACTCGGCGACGATTGCGGATGCTGTTCTCGATATTATACGCCCTTCTTTCAACCACTTTGATTCTTTTTGTTCTTCATAGTATATATTTATATTATCATATTTAGGTGCAAGAGAGGAAGGAATTGATCGATGAACTCGAAATTCCAATCATGAGACCAACTAAGAAGCATAAGATCAACTAAGGTTGATCCGTTGGTTGGTGTCATAAATTTACGGATCGCTCGATTCAATATGATCAAAGCTCACGAACAAAGACAATATTACGTTTAAGTCAAATCATATTATATGATTAAAAAAGATGTAACTAATGCATAAGACTTCTGTCAACATGAAATCGAAAGAGGATCATAAATTTACGGATCGCTTGATTCAATATGATCAAAGCTCACGAACGAAATCGATATTACGTTTAAATCAAATCATAATATATAATTAAAAAAGATGTAACTAATGCATAAGACTTATGTCAACATGAAATCAGAAGAGGATCATAAATTTATGGACAGCTCGATTCAATATGATCGAAGCTCACGAACAAATACGATATTACGTTTAAATCAAATCATATTATATGATTAAAAAAGATGTAACTAATGCATAAGACTTCTGTGAACATGAAATCGGAAGAGGATCAAATGTATACGATTTTATCTTTAAATATTTAGAAATATTATTTTTATAATAATAATAATAATTATTTTTTATATTGTACGTAAATATTTCCAACTTTTGTCACTGTTCGCCCTCCTTTGTACGGTTGGTTCAACAAGATGCTTTATAACTTTGTCCCTTTCGTTGGCACTAAAATCCATGCACATAAGCGCAGAACAAAAACGTGGGAACGTGAAACCAAGTTAAGTTGGTGGATCGACGATTTCTGTGGACGACGACCACTGCCACAGTGCGTGCGCTTTCCCTTCCCACATCGTTAGCAGGGCTCAATAGCCACCTGCAGAAGAGAACAAAGTAGTAGTCGATCGAGTCTCGCAAGAGGAACTCCAGATTAAATGAAAAAGAGTGAGTGGGATGAAACATTTCGACTGGGATTAACAGAGGAAAAAGAAGGCTCCTCCTATGCGTGGCCCATGAGAGGGAGCGGTCACGCAGCACCGATGGTCATGGCTTTGCTATGTGGAGGGAGGCGCATGCGCGGTGTCTGCGGTCCGTGGAATTTGGTTTTCTTGTTTCTGCTTGGCTACTTCCATCAATACTCCACCGTGAAAGCAAAGGGAGAGTTCAGTTGGTACAGAGCAAAAGGAAGGGTTAGGAGAGCATGGGGCTTGGGATGGAGACCCGTCCTTCGCTGGTCTTTTGATGGAGGACAGCGCTTTGATGGCGGTAAGTTGGTGGACAAGAATCTGATGCCGGAGATGGGGTACATGTACAGTGGCCTACTGCTGCTGTTGCTGCTGCTGCAAACCAGGTCGATGATGAGATTATGTGCCTCATCTTTAGAGCAAAAAACGCATGTGAGAAGACGTCAGTAGATTATAATGTAGTGCATGTCATAGTCCTAACCGAGGAGTGCTGATGTTAGACGAGTAGATAGAAAAGAAAAAAAAAGATGATAATAATAATAATAATAAAGATAATTATCATAGCTTAATGGATAAATTCTTTTGTACCATTGATCAGATCATGCCATCGAAAATATAATTATGATCTTACACCACTCATAGAGAAACAAAAAATACGATTCATTAATTTATGTATTATAGTATTCTAAATTTTTTTATAGACTCAATTATAAAAATAAAAAAATAATTGTATCAAATCAAATATACAATTTATTATTTTCTTCAAAAATAGATAGTATTTTTACTTATAATATATTTAAATTATATTTAACTAATAAAAGTTATTTAAATATTATATAAACTAAATTATTGCTGCATCAAGTGCCATTGTTCTAATAGCAGAGGATATGCAGAGAGAGAGAGAGAGAGAGAGAGAGAGAGAGAGAGCATTGAACATCTGTTCTTGGGAAGATTAGGTCTTTTTGTTTTTTTTAAGGTAGAATGATTCGAAGTTGCTTCCCTTCTGGAATTGTGTGCTTCTTCACCAAACACCTCTAGTCTTCTGGATTCGGATGCACTCGGTTACTGCCTCCATACCACTGTAATCAACCCACCCCTTTTCTCTGCTACTGGCGTGTGAGCAGGAAGCTTCTTGCTGCCACATTAACCAAGCCACTGACTGGTCTTCTCCTACTATCTTCCTTACTCCAAGCTGTCATAACTGTAACCCACCAATTTATTGCTTATTTATTAACATATTCTACATCTTTTTTATCATCTCAGACTCTCAAATGTTATTACTGGCAGCACTTCGCCCCTGCAAATCCAAAGTAAGGGAGTTTTGGTGCTCAGCTGAGCGACAAACGACACTGTAACCTGCGACACCCTCTCCTTTATCTGCTGACTTGCCAACTCTCATCTTTATGCTCTTCCTCAGATAATTTGCTTGCAGTCAAGGCTCCCAAGAATATTATCTCCCATGAAGTATAAACTATGTTGATTTATCATCTATTCCAAACGTCCAAGAAAATGAAAAATACAGGTCTGATCTATTTCCAGCTTCTATTATTTTCTAAAATTAAACATATTGTTACATGGCCAAAACTTCCAAAGTCAAAATCATTCTAGGATGTTCCCTCTGTAAGCTTGTATCACTACATCAGCCATCGACATGCTTCAATGCAAGAGCTGAGCTTTTCTGACGACAGTGATGGCAGTGAGAACAGGATTTAAATGAATCGAGCTAAGGGGCAAAAGTCTTCTTCAGGAAGAGGTGCATCCAAAGGCCTGGATGCGTCGGGCCACATCGAGAGGGCTGTAAACCGGAGGAAAGCCGCGAGTAATATTCCCACCAGTAACAACATTGTCCGCCATTCCCACCATGTACTACAGAGCATAAGATCTTGAATTAGGACAAGAAAATAAGGAAGTTTAATTTTCATGACAAACGAAAAAGTAGAGGATGAAAGCAATAAAAAGATACCACCACAACAAGTTTAAAAAAATTTAGATAAAGCACCAAGATGTGCACCAGAAAGGAAGATCCAACATTAATCCAGACAAACAGCAGTTGAAGATAATGGTGTGACAAGTGTGATTCTTCATAAACTGTACTAGTTTTACCCAATAAAACGTTTACTCTTCATTCATGGCATTGCTTTAGCCTTTAATGTGGTCAAACAGCTCCACATTAGACATGATCTTTCAGCCAACTCAAGCTAGGACCACTCCAGCATGAGATGCCAATGAAAGCTAGTGGCTCAAACTTCAAATCGGTAACGGAGTATTAAATTCTAGTACATTTTTGAAGAACCTTTCTCAATCTTTTTTTGCATGGTTTGAGTTTTTGTGCTTGTAAGCAGCTGAACTCAATTTCTAAAGATGTAAATCTAATTTAGTGGAACTTATTATAACTTAGATAATATTGTAGGACCTGACCAGTACACTTGTGTAGGAAATCTATCTACTTGCAAAACTAGACACTGAAAGCATATTATAAGGTGAAGATTGCCAGCATAATGTCATAGTATTCAACCATTTTTCTGGCAAAGCAGAAGGAACCTAAAATTAATATGCAAGTGAAAGGCAAACTCCTTTGTTGTATCTGTCGAGTACAGTAGATAAACAACCGGAAAACAAAAAGAAAAAAGGAGATAAACTCATTGCTGATTGATAATTTCAGTACCTTCTTGATGGACGCTCAAAATTCCATCGAACCACCTGATAACTTCCAAAATTTTCAGGAAGCTGAACACGATGTTCAGATAAAAAAGATACTATATCCTGCATATTAGTATTTTTGCTGTAAGTCGGAAAGGTAAAAATGTTAACCTTTGGAAAGACGCCAGATAGAAATGTTACCATCACTGTTGTATCAGAAAAGAAACCAGAAGATGCAGCTGGAAAAATCGCCAATCTCAGCATGGTACTCTTTCCCTTGCTTGCAATATTTATTAAATTAACCTGTAAACAAATAACTTCCACTGTTGAACAATACAGAGATTATGAAATAAATACTATAATATCTTGCAGATCTATGACAAAATAGAGACAGTCCCAATGACATCTCGAAGACTATAACAAGACTAGTTTCTGCCTGATGACCCAAACATAAGCACTTTTACCTCGTAATCTCTACAATGGCCAAGTTGTAAATCCCAAAAGGTTGGGCTTTTCCCAAAATACAAAACAGAAAAGTTCAACCTCACCTGATTTATATCAACTTGTAACTCATGTGCGATAAGCTCCTCTAATTCCTTTGCATGGGGCAATAGTTCAGCATATGCAATGTTCAAAATCATGTCGAAGGTAATGACCCCACTTTCAAACAGATCTGAGAAAAGCAAAAAAATCAAGACAAATCCTACGTTATTTACTCGCAGAAATAAATCCATTTTTCAGCATATCCTATTTGACTTCAATTCTAAAGCCAACGATCAACTTGAATCTTCAAATACTAGAAAATAGTTGTCTTCAAGTTGTTTGCAGGTAGGCAGTTAATTACCTGGTAGAACAGGAGTTGGTGAGTCATTCACTCTTGAATTTGTAAAATCTAAAACTCCAGGTGTAGGGCCTCCATCACTATGCAATCTCTCCCATAATACAGAACAGTTAGTCTTCCAAAAACCAATTCTTTCATTCTGACGGTCATAAGTTACCAGAGTGTTGCGAAAAATAATACCTGCCAGGAGAAACAACTAATATGGGAAGTTTTCAGATGAAGTATCATTTACCATAACAGAGCTTGCAACTATGTTAAAAGATGAAACATTGACATAAGCAAATCCTATTCTGTGGGTCCTATGAATATGGTATCATACCCCCCAAAATTGCCGTCAGATCTTTTTCATTCTGAAAGACTCCCAAGCAGTAAGCACCACTAACCTTCGAATGCTTTATTTTGGAAATACATAAAGAATACAGAAAAAACACATTAGTTAACCAAAGTAATTATTAATAGAACATTAGCAAATAGTACAATAACAACTAAGCAATAGCCAGGACAATGTCCACCTATTACATTGGTAAATTTATAATGAATTTAGAGCCACCTTTACCCGAAACAAGTAGTTTTCTGGTGAAAGCGACAGCTTTTCTCCATTACCAAATACCATATCAACCACTGGGAAGGTCTTTGAGAGTTCAGAGACATCACTGGGAACAGTTCCAAGGAGGTTTTCAATTGAAGGCATTCAAAAGTTAGTCATAAACTTGTAAGAATGAGGAATTTCCAGATATAATATCGCTACAATACCTTCCAGCACCAGAAAAGCAGATGTCACTGTAATTTGGATCGGGTCCAAGTATTCGCTTTAGAGAATGTAAGTTGCTCAAGATCTGTGAGATGTGAGAACATTATTTCAAGACAAATCCAGTTAAAAGGTGACAAATTCTAACTGGCATTAGCACCAGGTTAAAAGCTATCAATAAAAAAATACAACATTTCAATAAAGCTTTCTTTAAGTTAAAAAACTGCACTTTTGTTTTGCAAGTAGTAGTCAAAATGGAAAAAAGAAGAAAAGAAAAGCTTTGACACATTATTGAAAAAGTGACAAAGTGTAGTTCTGTAAATTTTGAGACTAATATTTAATATTTGATATTTTAACGCTCAATATCTTCATTAGCAAGAAACCCCAAAAGATAAGTTCCAATATCAGATCCTATGCAAATGTATATAGGAACTTTCTACTATCAGAAAAACCAGGAAAGCCAGCAACTCATGACATGTTAACATACAACAGTATCTTGTAATTCAAAATTCTATTGGATAATGGGAAAATAGAATACAATTATCATAGGTTCAAATTTCAAAGATCCTACTAGTTGCAATTAAACCTGTCCAAAATTCATAATTGATATTTGTTGAAACAAAACACATAACATAAAAAGGCAGAAAGGAATCTTACAGCATCTCTAAATGCCATAAATGCTTCTTCTGGTAGATATGCATATGTGGTTCCACTATCCAAGATTGTGCCATCCTTGCTATTGAATAGTCTTGGATCAAGATGCAGTAGTTTACCATCCACATGTATTTCCTCCAGCTCAATATTGTAGTATGGGCTGTTGCCATCCCAGGACAAGTAAATCTGAGAAATATGTCAAATGCACATGCAGAGAAACAAAACTTGATCACTCCAATAAACAAAAGATTTGTTGTACCTGCGAATAGGATCTGATCGGGAAAAAACCATGTCAGGAGGTGGAGTTATCTCACCAAGGACCATTGCACCTCCATCAACATCCATCCCACCATAGCATAAAGAAAATGAATCAGTAACAACACCCTTGTCAGCAAGTTGGTCCATTATGCTGAGCTCTCCACGGCCCAGCCCAATTATTCCATCAGCATGTTGATTGAACAAATTACCAGTTTCAGAATTTGCACAGCCAAAAACAGCACGCTGAGGTTTAAGTTCACTTTCTTTTCCAAATGATATAAGGTCCTCACCAAGCACACCACTGCTAGAGCTCATTTCAGTATATTGGCTCTCATAAACACACTGCTTTTGCTCCTTGTCACAGGTACAATCATCATTGCATTTCACAGGCTCATATGTGCTTGACAAATCAGGTTCAAATCTCAAATTCTAGACATCAACAGTGTGAATCAAGGTGAGAAGCCATATAAAACTACTCATCCATAACATATATCTTCAGTTATCAGGACATTCAAAGATACAATATAGCAAACCAATGGACATCTAGATACATTCACCACATCAAACCAATAAATGGAAGAAGAGCAATAAATTACCTTAATGAATCTGAAGCATAGAAATAAGACAACAGTAATTTATCTTCTACAATTTTTTTATATCGGTGCACCTTATTCAAGTGTAAAATAACCTGAGCTGTCAACAATCATGCTTGACTATTATATGCTAAGTACATGAAGAGGAAGTCTAACAGCCCAGCATCTGAAAAAGAATTCAGAACTGAAATGGTAACAGGCAAATGTGTGATTCTTTCCATTCACTAGTTGGAGAAGAATGTCACACATAACAAATCACTGGTAATTGCATTAATTAAATCTAAGATAAGCTTTTGGGGGGACTCAAAGAACATGAATCTAGGCAGAAGAAGACAAAATGAGTGAAGCAGCATGTAGGAATTCTGTAGTTTTAAATGCTTTTATATTGTGAATATATAATAACAAAATAATCCGTTTATGTTGTCATTGTGGTACACTGTACTTATTCTCTAAATCATCCAACTTCTGGTTAAAAATTCAAATTCATGATCCTTCAATGCCAGATCATAACCTATCTTCATTGTATGATCTTATACTATGACATATAACGTAGATTTCCCTGCTAACTTGCGTAACAGGTTTTCAGAGTCCACTCATTTTGATGGGAAATGACTTGGAACAGCAAACAAATAGCCACATCATGCTGGATTCACAAAACAAGGTTTAGTCATTTAGGAATAACAGCAGAACTGTCCAAAGATTCTTTTACAATTATTTCCCTAGCTACTAAAATTTTCATAGAACACTTAACAAAATGTATTCATGGTTCTAAGTGGTCAATAGTGTAGATAATTCCACAATACTAGTAAATATAAAAGCAGTTTGCTCCAGTACTATGATTATGTTGGTTTAGTGTTTCGTTGTCTATGCCAACCACGCTAGCTAATATCCATGTTATAACAAAGTTGTAACAAAAAAACTCAAGTATAATCAGTCTGCTTTACCAAAAAATCTAGTCAGTTAGCTGTGTTCCTTCGGTCTACATCAATAGAGGCCTTCTCAATTACTAACAAGGGTGGCAGGTAAGTGGACCTTGAAAAACGCAGTATCTTCAGTAAGAACAAATCCATCGATCGTGCAACCTATTTACTTATCAATCCAAAAAAGAGCTCTGGTTGCCTTGCATTATAACTCGGTATCGGGCAATGTGTTTATTTCTGTTTGGAACAAAAGAAAGAGAAGAAAAAGAAAAGTGATTTCAGTTCCATCAAGACAGAAGAAATACCTGATGATGATTCCCACATTGCTCGCACGTGGAGCAAGGAACGTAAGTGACCGTGCTCCCAGAATCCACGATCAAGGCAAACTCTTGAGGCGGTGTTCCGATAAAGAGCTTTGCAGTGTAATACCTAAAGATACGCATAAACATTAATCGATTAGCAAAAAGAAGCTATCTTGAAGAATGAAACTTAATCATCGCAGAGAGACCCGCGACGCTAAATCCATTAGCGTAGGTAAAAAATAATTGGAAGAAATTTCGAATCTAAGACAAGAGATCAACGGACGGAGAAAGGAAAAGAGAGGCGGGGCGCACCCATTGGTGACGTAATCATCGTAGAGCCTCATGCTTGCTCTGGCAGTGACCTGCTCGCCTAGCAAGCGTCTCGCCAAGACGGATCGGCGGGTGGAGTTCGAGCGGGAGCAAACAAGCGGCAGCACCAAGTTCGGCTTGCCGCCATGCGTGGCGAGGGCACGGAGGGAGGGTTCCGGCGTTCTAGCGGCGTCCGCGAAGAGGAAGAGGAGGAAGATGAAGGAGGAGGCGGCGGCAATCCAATCACTGGCTCGCGCCATGGAGATCGGGGAAAGGACTCCGCTCGAGAAGGCCGCGGTGCAGGTGCCAGTGGGAGGTGGGGATTGCCGGCGAGAGAGGGGGGAAGGAAACGGGAAGAAGGGGAAAACTTCGCCGCGAGTTCCTGAGGGCGCCTTTTATAGTTTGCTTCGACTTGGTATACTCCCTAGACAAACTATCAACTAGCACCGGTGGGGCCCATGGACTTTAACCGACGTGGGAATATGGCCTTTCCGTGAACGGCATTGATCGAAACAAGCTGCGGACGAGATTGGAAGAGAGTAGATACTATTTTGCGAATCACGGAGCAACCACGTCTTCCACGACAGCCTTTGGATGTCGCATCCGACGGTGGATGAAACCCAGCAGGATCATTCACACCTGGTTCTTCTTAAACTCTTGTAGAAGCGGAAGCGGGGGTAGAAGTTAGTGCGCGTAATGTGACGGGAACCTCCGCATGAATCCATCAAAGCGATGGAGGAAGTCAACAGTATTCCACAAATCTGACCATTGCAATTCGTACATGTAATTTGAATCACGGTGATGTGATAGACTTCTCAAAATTGTATACAAAATCCACGAGTTCTCTTCGTACTTAAAAATTGAATTCGGAATCGATTTATACCTGATAGAAGATTTTAGGGTTGAGAGGAGAATTTATATATATAATTTTTGTGCAACATTATTTATAAGATAAAAATATATAAAAATAGATTAGATTTCATAAATCAAGAGATATCAAATCTTTTTTATATAATAAAAATATCACAAACTCCATTATAAAGGGATATTATATCATTTTAATTTGATAGCATTCATATTATAAATAGGAAGTTTTTCGTGTATATATCTTTGTTCATTAGGGATAACATAACACATTGTATAAGAAATAAAAATTATTATATAAAAAATTTATGTTAAAATTAAAATCAAGTATCGTAAATAAAAGAAATTATATACCTTTTAAATATGATAATTAATAGGTATCTCGGATATTGTGAAATAATGCATTGTGATCTACACCACACATTTGCACTATATAACAATATGCATGCATCATAAATCTACACAAGAAACTAGATTTTCATTTTTTTTTCTATTTTTAGGAACACAATAATTGTTAGAGTAGCGACCTATCGAAATATGAGAGAAAAAAATCTCTATGATAATATTATCCTTAGAAGGTCATGCCTATACAAATAACCAAGAGCAAGGGTCTGAATAAGAAAATTTGAAAAGTTTCTTTCATCAAAATTATCTCATAATGTATACTAACATAAGTAGATTTTCTCGTAATGTATACTAACTATAATTAGAATTTAATTGAAATCTCAATATATCTTAACCAATTAATTAGGGCCATAAAATATAAAATTCTCCTATTGATAAGATACAAAAAAATTAAAAATAAAATAAATAAAATAAATTTATTTAAAAATAATTTTATTTAATTATATTATAAAACTTTAAAAATTATTTATATGCATGCAAATAAAAATAATAATACTACATTAAATTTGACTAAAAATATAAATTATAGTAGTTGTGTATCATTAGTGTCGTGCTTCTATGTAATACAATACCGTTAATCTTTCCTAATGTAATCCAAAATAACCCTTATAATTTATGATAATTATGTTATAACATTCAACCATTAATTATGTTATATATATATATATATATATATATATATATATATATATATATCTTAACTAATTAGTTAGATCATAAAATCTAACATATTAGCCTAAAAGTAATCATCAAATTTAGAATTTAAAAAGATAAAATTATATTATGATATTTTACCAAAACTTATGTGGCAACATGATATTATACTAATTGAAATGATGGCTCATTTGTCTAACTAGATACAAATTGAATAGATGTGACATGACTCACTCATCATAAGAATTCCTAACAATATGATTCTAATTAAATGCACTTGAAAAGGATGAATATCAAAATTATAAAATCTAAATATTTCTTATTTAAGTTCACATCATACAAATGAGTTCTACTCACACTTAAAATCTAAATTTTGAATCAATTTATACTTGATAGAAGATTTTAAGGTTGAAGGAAGAATTATATATATAATTTTTGTGTGGCTGCATCTCAACCTTATTTATGAGGTAAAAAATTGTTGAATCTTGTATTTTGACGATGAAATTACTTGATATATGTTTATGATTTAATCTGTGTTTTGAGTGACGCAGGATACTTCGATCAGGATAAGACAATTAAAGTAGGAAAATCATGTTGTGCCGGAGGAACATGTCAGATGATTGGACGTCGGGCCGGTGGATCGGTCGACGTATCGACAGATGGCTTCGGGCCGTGGACTCGGACATCGGGCCAAGAAGAGCGGGTATTGTGCCAAGGATATCGGAGTTGCGGAGTCAACTGACCGATTGGGCAATAGGCTGCAGGAGAGGACGATGCGCCGAAGAATCGGACGAAGCGTCGAGGGACCAATGACATGCCGGACAACTTGGTTATTTGTTTAGGATTAATTGTCTCGATCAAAGTTTTATTTTAAGTGTGCAGGATTAACTACGATGGAAGAAAGACATGTAGCAGGAGTTGCGCCGGAGTCAAGACAATGATCACGTTGGGAGTTCGAGAGTTCGACGGAAGTTCGGACAGTCGTCGGAGGTTCTACGGGAACAAATCCGAGAAGTCCATAAGCTTACCAAAGAAGCTCGTCGGAACTCGCCAAGTGAATCGTCGCAAGTCCAGGAGTTTGCCGGAAGTCCGCAGGAGCATCACCGAGGGTTCATCGGATGATCAACGGAAGTTCGCCGGAAGCTCGCCGGAAGAAGCGATTGACGCACCGGAGTAAGTTGCAGTAAATGTCTTAGGAAAAATCGTAGTTAGCACGTTGATTAAGTTGGAAATGGGAGGTGATCCCATTAACTTAATCTTGGGGCAATTGGGCCCCTAAAAAACCTAAATTGGGCCGAATGGATCAACCCATTCGGACCCTGATTTCTGCTAGGCGATTGAACCACCCAAGGCAGGAGGTTGCACCACCTGGGCTCAGTCTCCGAGCGAGACTGGGAGGTGCAACCGCTCCAGCCAAGCGGTGGCACCGCCTGGGCTCAGTCTCCGAGCGAGACTAGGCGGTGCAACCTCCCCTAACAGGAGGTGGCACTGCCTGAGCTCGGTCTTCGAGCTCTGCCAGGCGGTGCAACCGCCTCAGTCAGGAGGTGCAACCGCCTGAGCTCGGTCTTCGAGCTCTGTCAGGATGTGCAACCGCCCCTGACAGGAGGTAGCACCGCCCAGAGGCTTAGTCTTCGAGCTCTGCCAAGCGGTGCAACCGCTCCAGTCAGGAGGTACAACCGCCTGATCCCGAAATTCCGGGAATTGACAGTTTTGAGCTCCAAATTTGAACTGGGTTGGGGCCTATAAATACCCCACCCATTCAGCACTGAAAGAGCATGAACTTACATCGAAATCTTAATCTTTTTCTTTGATTCTTAGAGCTCAAAATTGTTGTAAAGGCCAAAAGTTCTTCTCCCTCTTTTCTTCCAAGTTCTGAGTTGTAAAGAGAGGAGAGAAAATTCTGTAAGGGTTGTCTCCTAAGCCCGTCAAAAGGAGTGAAACTGTAAAAGGGTGGTTGACCTTCGCCTATTGAAGGAAGGCCTCTAGTTGACGTCGGTGGAGGAAGCCAAAAGTGGAGTAGGTCAAGATTGACCGAACCACTCTAAATCTCGGTTTGCATTTACTTTGAGCATATTATCTTTACTGCAAACCTCCTCTAAAGCTTATTGCTTTCTGCGCATATACAATCGGGATTTAAGCGTTGCACTTTCCGAATCAACGTTTAGACGTAAATCTGGTTTTTCGTACGATCATCATATTTCAGTTTGCGTTTACGTTTTGATTTCAACCATAACTGCAAACTTCCTTTATATCCTTGCTTAAACTGCATCTCACCTAATCAAGTGATTTACGAATCAGCATTTAGACGTAAATCAGTTTCTTCGTACGAACGTCGTATTTCAGTTTGCGCTTATATTCTGGTTTTCATCATAACTGCAAACTGCCTTCATAGATTGATTTTAACGTAATCTCGCTTGATCTTAAGTTGAAGTAATCTTAGGATCGGCTTTCACACCGAAATCGTTTTTATCATTCGAACGTGTTTTATCGTTGAAAGATTTCCGCTGCACTAATTCACCCCCCATCCTAACAAAAATAAACAACTAATATCAAATCTCTTTTATGTAATAAAAATATGATAAACTCCATCATAAACAGATATTATGTCCCTTTTACTCTGATAGCATTTATATTATAAAGATGATATATGTATCGCTAGTCATTAGGAGAGTATATAGCAATTGGGCTAAGTACCATCATCAGTATATATAAGGTTGAAGGAAGATTATGAGGTGAAAAATAAACAAAAATATATGAGATTTCATAAATCAACAAATATCAAATCTTTTTCATGTAATAAAAATATTGTAAACTCCATCATAAAGAGATATTTTGTCTCTTTTACATTCAAATCACAAACGTGATATTTTTTTATAAAAGTATCTATGTTCATTGGGGGGTTAGCATTGCACATTGGGCTAAGTATCATCATCAAATTTAGAATTAAAAAAACCAAAATTAAATTGTGATATCTTATCAAGACTTTTATGCTAGCGACATGTCGCCATGATATTGTACTAATGATGGCTCATTTATCTTATTAGATATAAATTAAATAAATGTGACATGATTGACTTATCTTGATTGATAAAGATGTCTAATAATATGATTTTAATTAAACATATTAGGAAAGGATCAATATTAAGATCACAAATCTAAACAATTCTTATTTAAGCTTACATCATGCACATAAGTTCTAGTTATACTTAAAGTTTGAATTCTAAATCAATTGAGAATAGAATTTTATATATAATTTTTGCGTGTCTGTCTGCATCTCAACCTTATTTATGAGGTAAAAAATAAACAACTAATATCAAATCCCTTTTATGTAATAAAAATATGACAAACTCCCTTTTACTCTAATAGCATTTATATTACAAACATGATATATGTCTCACTAGTCATCAGGAGTAG